CTCTCTCGCTCTCACGCTGTTACCAACTTTCAGACAGAACTTAATACCCACCTCAGCGACTCGAAGGGGCGAGCAAGCTCGCCACCAGTATTTCATTTAGGTCCCGACGCTTTGCCCAGTGCTCGGTATGCTTACGTACCTCTTTTGATCGCTCTGTTAGCTAGTGCTTCTGAAGTGTAAGTCTGTCTTAATGGCACCTACTCTAAGAAGCGACATACGCTTGGATAGCAGTCCAGTGATGCACATGTGTCACCTCATTTCGCAGTGGTTCATCCTAGCTCTGACTCATGTGTCGTACACTTAGAGAGGGGGGCCACAGCGAATAAGATAAGGCACGTACCGGTAATATATACAAATATAATAACACATCAAGAGTCTACAAGAGTATAAGCTGAATTTCATGAGCATTTGAGACTACGTCAAGCAAAATGATACTTACAAACCATTTAGAGTTATCGAGATTATCGAGCTTAAAGTTGGCCAATTGGTTTTCACACTTGACCGAAACCGTGACATTTACTGTTAACTTTTATCGAAAAAACAGTAAAAGTACCCTTATTCAATCGCTTTTAACAAGGGCTTTTAAAAACCACTTGAATCTTTAAAATTGAAAAAAATATTGAGCTCACAACACTCCTAAATGTATCGTCATTTCGAGGGTCCATAAATGGAGATAATATTTTTGAGCGACCACAACTTCTTCAGTTTTAAGCATTCGGTAGCTTATAAGGGCTCAAGAGATAGAGAAGACACCCCGCTTTCGTTTAGAGTGCTAAAATCGCGATTCGTACTTAGGTTCGTAATTATTAAATAGTTTTGGGTGGTCTCATTTACACGTTCGTGTATTCAGTTTTTTATTTATTTGCCATTCTCGTTTTCTTGAAAAATATTTGTTTTAAAACATAAACACATATTTTTTGCAAACAACAGCTGCAAGTACCGCAGCGGAAACCGAACTATGGAGACAACCTTTTACCGTAAGTTTTCAGTCGAAGCCGACTACAAGTCAGAAAATACAAGTACAGTGCCCCTTCTGCACGCATGAATATGAATACTTTCCGGTATATCCAGCATCAAATGAAGTGTTTACATGGCCGATCCGATGATGTCGAAGCGAACGTTGCATTCATGAACGCCGTGACCCTATCGCGTATCTGCGAACTGTACTTGGGCGAGATCCATCGACTGAATTGGCTTATTATCAATCGCTCTTGCGTCCGCGGCAGGTCGTTCTTCTGCCTGTAGTCGTGGTGGGAGATCACAACGAGTACACGGGAAAGTTTAAGCTACTTCGACGAGTTAATGCGTCGGAACTCACTTGGCCGGAACTCGTACAATGCGGATGAAGACGAGATGGTTTTGCTAAAGATTTTCTTAAAACATTTTTTTATAAGAGTATCGAAGATTGAAACAATCCGTTATTGTAAAAATGGTTGAGAGCGACCAGCGTGGACACAAACACTTATCAAGTACGCCTCCTGCTTACCACGGCTCCTCGAACGTGCCGAACGAATACTCGCCCGTGTTGAGTGAGAAGGTTGCACAGAGCGGGTTGGCCACGGCCGTCTCGTTGTATACGTCGCAGTCCGTCTCCGGTTTGATGGCCACCACGTATTCGCAGTCCTCGGCCACCTTCTTGATCCCGTGACCCACCTGTGGGTAGTAAACACTCCAGTCGTCAGATGTGAGTGTGAAGTTGACGTTCTGTGTCTGGCCAGGCTCGAGACTGATCTTGGAGAACTTCTTGAGCTGCTTCATCTCCGGCACATTCAGCGAGTTGTATGGCTGGATGAGGAAGAGCATGACGGTCTCCTTTCCGGCTTCACTACCAGCGTTCGTAACGTCCACAGACACCACGACGTCTTCCGCCAAAGACGTGACGACGTTGCGGCTCAGACGCACTTCAGAGTAGGTGAACTCAGTGTAGCTGAGGCCCGTTCCGAAATCCCACTGATTCTCGCAGTAATAAGCACCGTCGGACTCCTGCGTCTGGCACATGCTCGTCACAGGGTGGTTGTACGTCATCTGGATGTTGGCCTGGTCCTTCGGGTACGTGATCGGCATGCGACCACTGGGGTTTACTTTGCCGTAGATGATCTCGGCCATGGCTTGGCCGACCAGCTCACATGCCAACAAACCGTTCACCACCGCGTGCACGGTCTCGGGTAGGTCACCAAGCAGACGTGGACGACCCTCGAACAACACCAAGATCACTTTCGTACCTGTGGATGCCAGCTCCTTCACGTACTCAATCTGACCAGCGGGCAACGCCAGGTCGTCGATGTCACCAGGTTTCTCGGCGTACGTGTCCTTGCCGATCACGGCGATGGTGTACTCAGCATTGCTAGCTAATTCCTTTGCCGTGGCCAGGTCCGCCTCCGTGTACGAACCGTTCGGGTGAAGGCCGTTGAAGAAGCCGAAGCTGTCGTTGCCGACGAGCGTCTCCATGGCCGACTTTACCGTGATTCCCTTTGTGAGCAGGTGGTCCTGGTCGCTGTAGCCTTGCCATGCGATCGTCCAACCGCCGCACATACGGCCGATGTTGTCGGCGATGAAACCCGTGAGGAACACCGACGCGTCCTCCTTGAGCGGCAGTGTGCTGTCGTTGTTCTGCAGCAACACAATAGATTCGCGCGCCAGCTCCAGAGCCGCCGAGATATCGTCGTCGTTGCCGATGAGTGCGAGGTTCTCTTCGCCGCGCACGGGTGTCTCGTACAGACCCAACTGCAGCTTCATCTTGACCACGCGACGGGCAGACTCTTTGAGCCGCTCGCGGAACTGTGGACTCTGCTCCAACAGCGCCTTAGTGCCGTTGTAGAAGCTCGTGTCCTGCGCTACCATACTCATGTCCACGGACGCGCGTGTGAGCGAGATGCGGGTGGCTTCGGTCTCGTTGCGCGCGGTGCGGTGGAAGTCCGTGAGCTGCTTGATCTCGGCCTAGTCCGTCACCATCATGCCGTCGAAGCCCAGATCATCGCGCAGCAGCGCGTTCATGAGCTTGGTATTCGACACGGTAGGCACGCCGTTGATGGATATGTAGTTTTCCATCGCGCTGATCACGCCGGCGTCCACCGCGGCCTTGAAGGGCGGGAAGAAGTAATTCATCATGTCGTAGTCCGACACGGTCACGGCGTCCTTGTCATGACCGGAGGGGGTCTTCGGGTAAACGATCCAGTGTTTCATGCACGCGGCGGTGTGGTTGTTGCTCTGCAGGCCGCGGATGATAGCGTCACCCATGACAGAGTTGATGTGTGGATCCTCGCTGAACGTCTCGAACGTACGTGCCCAGAGCGGGTTGCGCGAGATGCCGAGAATGGGGCCAAATACCCATGGTACGCCCGACGCCTCCGTGTCGCGGCCGGTGATGCGACCCTGCTCGTACACGAGGTCGGGGTTGAACGACGCGCCGCCGTTGATTTGCTGGCCGAACAGCACGGCGTCCTTCACGAAGATGGCGCCGTGCACAGAGTCCACGCCTTACACCATCGGGTGACCACCATTCTCCTCCATCGTGATCTCCTGGATCCTCGTGATGACTTCACGCCACTCGTCGGCGGTCCACATGTACGTGCCGTTCACGGGCCCGTTGTTGAACGGACTGGTGAGGTACGAGCCGACGCGCATCTTGGTGTACGCGCGCACCTTGTCGTCGTCAACCTTGTTGTCCTCTGTGAGGAGCTGGTTGATGTAGATTTGGGTCATTTGGCCGATAATGTCGTCGTCGGTAAAGATGGCGACGATGGCATCGGCGCGTTCATCCCACTGGTCAGCGGAGTTTTAAAGCCTGCCATCACTACTGCTGCTTTAAAACCTGACCGAAACAGTTCTTCGGTGAGCCCGGTACGAAACGTACTTAAGCGGGAAAATATCATAAAATATCATCTAATGGATGCGCCCTATTAAAGTCCGGACTATATTTAATAGTGCCACTCGAAAGTGACAGAGAGGACTTTATACGGGTGAGGACTTAGTTGGTCGGACTCTTTCTAAGCATTAATTTATATGTACAGTAGGTTTTTGAAACTCTTAGAGCATCTCCAGCGGTTAGACTTATTTGCAAGTCCTATTGAGACGGATGAGACCTCAATTTTTAGGATAGAACTCCTGATTGCATCTTGTCACAGCGGTTTGGAACTCACCGCGGCTTAACATTTTTTTGTCCAATCAAACGACGATACAAAAGATCTCTCTAGATACCGCACTATCAGAAATACACGAAGGAGTGAAGCGCTGCTGGTGACGTCAAGTATGGACGACGACTCGGAAGAAGAGTACTATTTCACCTACATGTTGCCTGAGGGCGGGGTGGACAACACGAGCGCAGTGCGGGGCAAACACGGCGGGTCCACCAAAGGCAGGAGAGCAAATAAAGAGCGGGATCGAGAAATGTGGGGTGAACGCCTAATGAGTGACTAATTTGGCGACAACCCAGTCTACGATGATGGTATGTATTTGAGTAAACGACATGTTCTCCTTTAAAACTGTTCATTAATGTTCATGGCTACTCGTTCTGATGCAGATGACTTCCGCAGGCGATTTGGTATGCGTCGTAACCTCTTTGAGCTCATTACCATTGCCCTGGTTGAGGATGAAGAGTGCAGCTACTTCGTCCAGCGTAGTGACGCAACTGGACGTGCTGGTTTCCTACCAGAACAGAAGGTGACGTGTGCTTTACGGATGTTGGCATATGGAGCATCAGCAGATCAATTAGATGAGTTGATTCGTATGGCTGAGTCCACAGTGTTGGAGACCTTAAAGCTGTTCTGCAGAAATATTATCCGATTATTTGGTCCAGAGTATCTTCGAAAGCCGACCAAGGATGACTTGGAAATACTTCTTGCCGAGAATGCTGAACGCGGATTTCCGGGTATGATTGGTAGCTTGGACTGTATGCACTGGACATGGAAGAATTGTCCAACGGCATGGCAAGGAGCTTTTCAGGCAAAAGAGAAGTGTTCGACGGTGATCTTGGAAGCCGTGGCTTCTAAGTCGTTATGGATTTGGCATGCATTCTATGGCATGCCTGGCGCCAACAATGATTTGAGTGTACTCGAGCGTTCACCTTTGTTGAATGACCTGGTAAACGGTGTTGCTCCCAGGATTTCCTTCACGGTGAATGGTGCGACGTACAATCAGGGATACTATCTTACAGGTGGAATCTATCCTGTCTGGGCAATTTTCCAATCCAGTATCAGTGCGCCCCAAGGCAACAAGCGTAAGTCTTACGCTGCCCAGCAGGAAGCCGCTCGCAAAGACGTTGAACGCACATTTGGAGTATTACAACAGCGCTTTCGAATTCTTGCCCTGCCCTGTAAGCTATGGAGTGTCGATGCAATGAATGATGTGATGCTAGCATGTATCATCCTCCATAACATGATTGTGGAAGACGAGCAGCGAATTACCTCGCTAAATCATCAGTACCTGTTTGAAGATGAATGGGTCAGCCCGGCAGAAGTTGGTGTACCGGATGAGTGCTCAGTCGCAATGATAGCAAACGCGATGCAAGTGCTTGAAGACGAAGAACTTCACTATGAATTAAAAACGGATTTGATCGAACACGTATGGCAGTGCTACGGTGCTCTCGGCTAGCAAAACTTTTCTCTCGATCCTGTGTAGTAGGTTTTTAAGCTAGACTACGTGCAGAAGCCCAGCTAAATTAAAGTACTGATTAGATTGTCAGCAACTTCACTTTCTTCACCCTCGCCATTATGTAGTCCTGCCACGTGCGGTGCCATGAACGAACGCTCAGGTGTTTCCAGCTCTTCGCTTTGTTGTAACTGCTGGCGCTCTTGTGAATCAGCAAGTGTCTTCCTCATGTTGGCGAGGATGGTTTTTTGCTGCATAGTAAAATATTCCTGTGATTCGTAGCTAGCGGGATTCTACAAGAAGATAGATAGATGGAGACTTTGCTCCATCACAGCGACCTTCTTTCCTGTGGCAACAACGAACCTGAGGTGAGCTTCACCCCCAATCGTTTGAACTCCAGCACTTCCATGACTCTCATTAGTTTTGGCGTTAGCCGCCTTTGCTGCTTTGCGGCCTTCTGGTCTCTCCAAAGACGCAACGTCACTTGTTCCTCGCTTGACTCCAATAGATGAGGCCGAAGTGATCTTGTTGGTCCACTTGGGCTTGTCCTTGAGCTCCTTCCACGCCGCAAGAAACTCGAACGGCTCTTTGTGTCGCTCTTGGTAAACCTTCAACGCGGCGTAGCGTCATTCCATCCTGATCGCTCTCTGCTGGTGACCTTCGCATATATACCGCAGAGCTTCGTTACTTCTGGCTGCAGTTTCTTCCATCGCCCCATTATCGCGACCTCCGTTCGTGGATCCTTGTCTTCTGGTCTCTTGTTTTCCAGCCAGTGGCTGTTCAAGCGACTGCTGAACGTGCTCTTCTTCTGTCCTGCACCACGCACTGCGTCCTCCGATACCTCCAGCCACGACAGGCAAAGCTGTATGGTCTCGCTCTCACTCCACGCTAAGCCCTTCCCCATCGTACTGCAAGTTTCCGTGTCGGTGCTGAGATCGAAGGTTTCCTTTCGTTAGACTGAGGTTTTATATAAAGTCCTTGGACCAGAAATATAAGTCTTCTTGAAGTTTAAACTAATAATACCACCAACGAATGGGGCAAAAAAACTTGTCGAGAGATTTATTTGCGCAGCTTTTGGGATAAAACCTTCGTTAGAGCCTACCGCTGGAGATGCTCTTATAGATTCCAATATCTCCAGCTTGCGAGGAAGGCGTGAGGCCACCCAGGCACAACACATATCGAACACTTTCGAAGAGCACTTAGCTTTCACAGCCTTCGATATGTGAGCTCTCATGCTGTCCCAAACCAAGCATTTACGCTCACCGTGCATCACAAGTGGAATAGTCACATCAATCCACTTCTTGAGCAGCTCGCTATCAACCCAAGCTCGGGGTTGGTGTGCTACGAAAAGTGGCCCTGACTTTGTTTTTAAAAGAAGGTGAAAATTTTCCTTTCTACACCAAAAATAGGGGCAACTTTCGGCCTGTTGCCGAAAAATTGCTCTTCTCTGTATAATGAATGGTCAGTAAGTTTGTAATAGCAGGTTTGGTAGTTTGTAAAAGGACTCTATTCGGAAGAGGCTTGTATTTAATAGTGCAGGCAGCACCCCACAGGACACTATTCGGAAGGGGGCTTTTATTCGGGCGCATCCGTTAGTATCTAATATTTTTCCAAATCTCTGAGTTAATATTTGAATATTATGGTAGCCTTAAAAACTGAGCTACTTTTAATATTTAATATCAAAAATAGTACTATTACCTTTAAAAATATCACATGATATTTGGTTCCCTGGTCGACTCGACTATTCCCTCCCGCTACCATGAATCTTGACCGTCGAGATCCGTCGACGCAAGTACTGTACAGTACTGCACCCCGTTTTCGCGGGGGTGGACCATATAGGATTTGCAAATCGATCCGATTTTAGCAGACAAACAAAAGTTCTTTTGGATTCAGGAGCATCACATCCGGAAGTTTAACAAAGGTCCAAGGGCGCGAAAACGGGGTGCAGTACTGTAGTATACTACTGGTTGAACCAGTGGTTCCCCAATGGGGAATCCCCATGATGAGGGTCTCATATGTTAGATACAGTAGTTTACGGTAACTGTTGCGCCGTGATCAATCCAGTTGAGAGGGGCGCGACCGGCGGTCACTGACCGTTCCTCAAGCGGAAGTTAGATGATGGGCATTCAGTAAAAGTACGTACTCAACCCTTTAAGTTTAGAGCATTCACTATGAATACTACAGAAAGAGTCTTACGAGAAATCAAAAGAGAGAAAAAACGTTCGCCTTAGTAACTGCTTAACGTAGGTCTTACTGTACTAAGGCGAACATTAATTTTCCCCAATTTCTCGTTACACGATTCACAAAAGGATCGGTTTTGTACATTATTCATATGTGACCAATCAGAACCCGCAAATCTCCTGTAATTGCCCCCCCCTGAATAAACCTGTTATGTATCTATAAACTGACCTCTATCCTCTCATTTGTGAATACATGTAGTAATTAGACCTGATAAACTTATCTTAAGTTTGTAATCATCGGGGAGCACTTTATTTGGAGGAAATTACTATTGGAGATATCAAAACAGAGAGGATCGTTTGTATTAACTCTACGGAGTCTCCAACTCGGTTACTCATCCATTTTCTTAATACAAGTAGCTGGATGCTTCGATTGCTACGGAAGCATCTCTTATAGTATACATATAGATGGCACAACGAATCATTGATCGAAATGGTCGCTGTGGTCTTCAGCGATAATTGCACAGTAAACTTAGCAATAAATACGTGTAAGTGTGCGACTGAGTACAGTTCATGTTCTGCCCAGGGTACACGGCACGCGGCGTGCTACATGTAGTTTTAGATTGTGAGATTTGACGTATGTTCAAGCACAGCTGGTTTTGGTGTAATTCTGCACTGCAGGATTAATAAGACCTCAGCAGGCTGCAGAGGTCTTGCTTCAACCACGACCTTTTTTTTATTTGAGGTCGTGCTCAACACGTACAGTCTGTACTGTACTATGAACAGTGTGGCTGTGTACTGTACTACATGATGTACAGTACATGTACAGTCTGCATGTCGGCAGTGCCGACGGCACACGCATGAATTTATTTAGAGACAGAAACAAAGGTCTCTGAAACTTCAACCACTCCAAAGGTTCAAGCTGTCGACTACCGTGCTTGTGCGCACATGTACATGAATTGTTAATAACTGCATGGGCAACTAAATTCAATCCATTTAGGCCCTTGAGGATCGACCTTAAAATGACGTCTCGCTTGCTTGGCGCAGCCATTATCGATAAGAGTTCAATTGTCTAAATTGCTACACGTGCAATAATCGAAACAAGTGCTTGATTCGGTCTGTCATATCTGACACTACATATCCGAATTGTCAACTTTCACAAATTTCCCAAAGTAAAGTACTTTGGGATGAGTAGTGGAAGTTCCGTGTACATGAACTACATATCTGTGCAGTGTACATTTCACAACTGCTTGCGAGTTAATCTTCAGTTAACTTCCGCTTGGAGAGTGGTCACGCCCATGTACTGACGCCCCTACTAACTGGATTGATCACGGTGCAAGAATACCGTAAACGTTTTAGCTTACGAGGGACCAATTCTTGTGTTGACTGTTCCCTTGACTTGTGCACCAAACGCGAGGCACGCCCGAGGAAGGACAGCTTAAAAATTCAAGCTGAACCAAGGTTGCCAAAGAACCCACGCAGTCAGAGGGACAAAGACACACCTGACCTGAGCGGATCCTCTCGGCAATCGCCCTGGACTGCATCAAACCGAGCCCGACATGAGCTGCTCACTTTTCCTTTTGCCTTCCTTCGACTACAATATCCTCTCAAGAGGTTCAAGATAACCATGCTGAAGTCGTGGTTCGCAGCAGTACTGTGTACGGCCCTCGGTGTTGCCGTGCAACAAGGAGCGCCTCTTGTCTCCGCTGACCAGTGGGATGAACGCGCCGACGCCATCGTTGCCACCTTCACCGACGACGACATTATCGGCCAAATGACCCAAATCGACATCAACCAGCTCCTCACAGAGGACAACAAGGTTGACGACGACAAGGTGCGCGCGTACGCCAAGATGCGCGTCGGCTCGTACCTCACCAGTCCGTTCAACAACGGGCCCGTGAACGGCACGTACATGTGGACCGCCGACGAGTGGCGTGAAGTGATCACGAGGATCCAGGAGATCACGATGGAGGAGAATGGTGATCACCCGATGGTGTACGGCGTGGACTCTGTGCACGGCGCCATCTTCGTGAAGGACGCCGTGCTGTTCGGCCAGCAAATCAACGGCGGCGCGTCGTTCAACCCCGACCTCGTGTACGAGCAGGGTCGCATCACCGGCCGCGACACGGAGGCGTCGGGCGTACCATGGGTATTTGGCCCCATTCTCGGCATCTCGCGCAACCCACTCTGGGCACGTACATCGAGACGTTCAGCGAGGATCCACACATCAACTCTGTCATAGGTGACGCTATCATCCGCGGCCTGCAGAGCAACAACTACACCGCCGCGTGCATGAAACACTGGATCGTTTACCCGAAGACCCCCTCCGGTCATGACAAGGACGCCGTGACCGTGTCGGACTACGACATGATGAATTACTTCTTCCCGCCCTTCAAGGACGCATGGACGCCGGCGTGATCAGCGCCATGGAGAACTACATATCCATCAACGGCGTGCCTACCGTGTCGAATACCAAGCTCATGAACGCGCTGCTGCGCGATGATCTGGGCTTCGACGGCATGATAATGACGGACTAGGCCGAGATCAACCAGCTCACGGACTTCCACCGCACCGCGCGCAACGAGACCGAAGCCACCCGCATCTCGCTCACACGCGCGTCCGTGGACATGAGTATGGTAGCGCAGGACACGAGCTTCTACAACGGCACTAAGGCGCTGTTGGAGCAGAGTCCACAGTTCCGCGAGCGGCTCAAAGAGTCTGCCCGTCGCGTGGTCAAGATGAAGCTGCAGTTGGGTCTGTACGAGACACCCGTGCGCGGCGAAGAGAACCTCGCACTCATCGGCAACGACGACGATATCTCGGCGGCTCTGGAGCTGGCGCGCGAATCTATTGTGTTGCTGCAGAACAACGACAGCACACTGCCGCTCAAGGAGGACGCGTCGGTGTTCCTCACGGGCTTCACCGCCGACAACATCGGCCGTATGTGCGGCGGTTGGACGATCGCATGGCAAGGCTACAGCGACCAGGACCACCTGCTCACAAAGGGAATTACGGTCAAGTCGATCATGGAGACGCTCGTCGGCAACGACAGCTTCAGCTTCTTCAACGGCCTTCATCCAAACGGTTCGTACACGGAGGCGGACCTGGCGACGGCGAAGGAATTGGCTAGCAAGGCTGAGTACACCATCGCCGTGATCGGCGAGGACACGTACGCCGAGAAACCTGGTGACATTGACGACCTGGCGTTGCCCGCCGGTCAGATTGAGTACGTGAAGGAGCTGGTATCCACAGGTACGAAAGTGATCTTGGTGTTGTTCGAGGATCGTCCACGTCTGCTTGGTGACCTACCCGAGACCGTGCACGCGGTGGTGAACGGTTTGTTGACATGTGAGCTGGGTGGCCAAGCCATGGCCGAGATCATCTACGGCAAAGTAAACCCCAGCGGCCGCATGCCAATCACGTACCCGAAGGACCAGGCCAACATCCAGATGACGTCCAACCACCCTGTGACGAGCATGTTATTGGAACTCCGTTCCGTTTGGCAGCACTCTGGACTTGTGAAAGTAAAATGAAGACTGAATTATTTAAGTGCTAGCTCACGCTCCTCCAGAGCTCCTACCAACACTAACGGATTCAACCCGTTCCCATACAATGACCTGGCCCAACTGATTCTCATCCCGAATGTCCTGGCCCACCTGATTCTCATCCAGTGTGTCCATGTCTCGTTGTGCCTGGTCTCCAATGTGAATTCCAACACGCCTCCCTCGAAGTGCAACTTCGACTACTTGGCCTAATTCACGCCAGCCAGCTCCAACATCGCCTTCAAGCGAATCTTGTCGAGCGGCTTGGTAAACGTGTCCGCAGGATTCACCTCGCCTTTCACCTTGTGCAGATCAATGGTGCCCTTCACCACTTGTTCCCGCACATAGTGCCATCGGAGCTCAATGTGTCGCGTGCGTCTGCTGTAGGTAGGATTAGTCGCCATCACATGAGCTGCTTGGTTGTCAATACCAATTCGTAACTTGACCTCATGATCTGGTAATATTTCCTGCAGAATGTTCTTCTCTGCTACAGCTTCCATAGTAGCCTCGCAGGCCGCCACATATTCCGCCTCAGCTGTCGATAACGCAATAATCGACTGCCGCCGTGACATCCAGGCAATAGCTCCTCCAGACAACATGAACACAAACCCCGTTGTGCTCTTCCGCTGCTCTGGATCATTCGCCCAGTCGCTGTCACAATACCCTTCAAGTACAAATTCCCTAGTTGCTCCTTGAGTTCTTGTGTACGTGATTCCATAGTCAAGCGTTCCGGCCACGTACCGCAGTACTCTCTTCAGACTTCCAACATGTTTCGCAGACGGTTTGCCCACAAACCGACTCAGTTGACCCACCACGAACGCCAAATCAGGTCTGGTGCTCGTTGCCAAGTACATCAGCATTCCAATAGCCTCTCGATAGGGAAAACTCGTATCTCCTGTCTCCTCATCGCTCATTGGTGCCAACCGCAAGCTCACTTCCATCGGATTTCCAACCGCATGGGCATTCTGGTACCCGAACTTGCTCAGGATCTCTCGTGCATATTACCCTTGGTGAATTGTGATTCTCTCAGTCGTTTGCTACCCAGGTACTCATTCAACAGGCCTTGATCCTTAATCCCGTACTCCTTGTCCAGCTGCGCGAACAAGTCCTTCTTGCCCTGCTCGTCATTCGTTGCAACCAGTATGTCATCAACATACACTAGCACATACATGATCGTATCTCCGTCAAAACGATAGTACAGACACGGTTCCGTCAACGACCGCATCTATCCGTGCTTCATCAACCAGTTGTTCAGCTCCGAGTTCCACTCGCGACCTGACTGATGCAAACCATATAGCGCCTTCAACACGATATAAACATATCCGTTGATCTTGCATGGGTATCCTTCAATGGATCTCAAGTACTGCTGGATCTCCAACCGGGCATTCAAGTATGCGGTGTTAATATCTCCGCCATACACCATTAATCCCAGCTGCGCTGCTAATGCCAACAGCAATCTGAACGACGACATCCTCGCCACTGGTGCAAACGTCTCCTTAAAGTCAATCCCGGGTCTTTGATAGCTACCCAGCGCCACTATGCGCGACTTGAAACGAATCACATATCCTTGATGGTCGGTCTTGATGTCATATACCCACATCGTGCTCACGGGTGATGCTTCCTCCGGCATTTCATCCGCAGGAATCTCGGCAGTCCCTCCTTTCTTCTTCAAAACTGCAAGCTCTTCCATCTCGGACATCATGAAGAAGTCACACCACTTCGACCGTATCATCTCACGACGATTACGTGGAACTTTGATCTCACTTGCACGAATGGGTCTTCCATTCTTATCCAGTACACGTGAGGAATTCATCGTCACGTTCACCATGTAGTCATCGAGATACGCCGGACGTCGACGCTTGTGAACTTCTCGTAGTCCAGTCCGTGTCTTCTTCACGTTTGTCTTATCCGCATCCAGCTCTGCACGAACCTCCTCTGAAGGAGTCTCATCTCGATGCATACGCTTGCCAGTCACTGTTACCTCAGGACTTATCCCCACCACATCTCTGTCTGGCTCAGCTTCAGGTAGTGTGTCCTCACCAGTGTCACTCTCTAGCTCCGCATCATTGCTACTCTGGTCCTCAGCAAAGACACTCGCTACTGTGGTCTCTTCATTACCATCTTGCTCTTCGGCGTCATCCAGCTTATGGTCAACTACTTCCGATCCACAGGTTCCAGCCACCGATATAGCGTCCGCATCTGCTATGCCAACACCCTCAGCCGCTTCATGGACATTCTCGCCCTCAGCTGCTTGACCAGTGTCGACACTTACACCTTTGCTAGCCTCACTCGGTTGACTGCCTTCATGTTGTACACTTTCAGTAACAACATCACCATGTTCATCGTTCTCAACGGCGTCACTGCCTACTTGAACAGTCTCAGTACCGTCCTCAGTAACCTTGAGTTGAACATCACCATTCAAATGAACATCTCCATCCACTTCGCTATCGGCATGGTGGACAGGTTGATCATACACTTGGTGCATTTCTCGTCCAACCTGCGTATGTACGTCAGTACGCTCGCCTTCCTGTGTCTGCACAGCATCCACGCAAGCATCCACACTCTCGCCTTCCTCGAGCTCAAAAGATGGTACATCACTCAGCTCGCTCAAAACGGTCTGGTCCTCATCTTCTCGATGAGTAAAGTGAAGTGAAGAGAGATTGTCGTCTTCCACTTCCGTTGTATATCGGTCCCGATACATAACATCCTCTGCAACACGCAGATCTGACACAAACTTTGCTGTGTGCTCATCAGAAAAGTACACTTTGCAGCCAACTACATTCTCAGCATACCCCAATACAAACCCAATCTTCGCATGAACACTCAGTTTCTTGCGTCCAGGAGTCACTGGTACGTGCACGTACGTCAGCGCTCCAAACTTCCGGATGTGGTGTACATTCGGCTTGACTCCAAACAGCATCTCGTACGGAATGCCATTAGTCCCCTTGTTGTACACACTATTCTTGACATACACTGCATTTCTCAGTGCCTCAGGCCACAGGCTCCTCGGTAGCCCCGAGTGTGCCATCGTAGACCTAGTTATGTCCTCCAACGATTGGTGCGTTCGTTCACACAGATTGAGCTGCGAGCTCTTCGGCCCGACTTTCACATGCTCAATTCCTCTTGAACGATACCATGCATCAATTCCTTCATTGAAGAATTCACCGCCCTTGTCACTCCAAATCTGCTGCACTCTGTATGTTTCCCGTTGGCATTTCGGCCTGCCTGCCGTTCCGCCCACAACACATACTCTTGCATGTACTTGTTCACCACCTTGCTGTCCTTGTTCCTCAGCAGGTGCGCAGTGACAAACCGCGAATAACTATCCATGATCACCAACACGGCCTCATATTGAGTCGCATTATTCTTCCCTGGAATCAGAAGATCCGCATACACTACTTGGTTGGGTTTCTTCAGTCCACGGTCCAGCATCTTCCTGTGTGATTTCATCTTTTGTTTTACAAGATGACAGGCATCACACGTATCTTGCTGTCTCTGTGTCACCATCATTCCCTCCACCCTTGTCGACCATAGTCTTCAAATACTGTGGACAGATATGACACAGTCTCTCATGCCAAAGCTGCAGCGAACCAACACCTTCTGTCATAGTGTGATTACATCTTGCTGCTGCTTCTGGTAGCACTCGAGCTCTCTGGGTCGGACTCGCTACTTGGAACCCCCAAGTGGCCTCCTGCTGCGTTGCTACAGCCACAGTCCTTCCATCTCTCATGACGTGAAAATTCCTCGATTCTCTGTCATATTCCAGAGTATAACCCTGCTCGTAGGCTAAAACAGGAGAAAACAAACCATACTCGGCATCCGGAATGTACAACACTCCGTCGAGATAGCTCACTACTTGTTCTCCATTAACCTCTGTCGTAAACGACACTGTTCCCATTCCAGCAACACGGGAAGCAATCGTAGGCGTAACTCCTCGGGTCTGCTGTAGCTGCTCCGAGTCTGCCGTGTACGACATGAACTCAGCGAAATTCCCCGTGACGTGCGAGTTGGAGGCCGTATCCAGATACCACCACCCACCATCGAGACCTTGTGTTACTTGATCACTGTCCTCCAGATGTGATTCACCACTATCTGACTCATGATCGTTCACCGGGTTTCCATCACTTGCTGCTTCATCGTCGCTCACGATTCTAATGCCACGTACATCATCAGTGCACTCCATTTGCTTCATCGAGCTCCCGAGGAATCCCGTATATTTCACGAGAACTTGTGACTCCTGCCACAACACCCTCATCCCGCTCGCGGTTCATCTGCACTGGTCCAGTGGTTTCTTGTCGTAGGGTACAGCAACTGCGCGGCTTACGCTTTTTCTCTGCGTCGTCAGCTTTCTCTTTCTCCTTCGACTTCTCAGGACAATCGACACGTAGGTGATCTTCACTGCCACAAGTAAAGCATCTTCTAACTCTCTTGGGGTCACCAGTCTTGTCCTCGTGAAAGCCTTTTCTGCTCTCACTGCCTTTGCCATGTCTTCCTCGCGGGCTACCCTTCTTCACACTGCGCTTAGCTCGAAACTCTTTCTGCCGAGCCGTCGCCGCAAGAATCAGCTCTCGAACCTTGTTAGGTGTGTAGACACTCGGGTCTGCGCCGTAGTATATCGAAGACTTCAGATGCTCAAACTCCAGTTGATTAGGCAAACTCTCCAGTAGCATATCCACCATCGTGGTATCTGCAACCGTATGATTCAAGTCGGCCAACACAGTCTTGAGATTGAACATTTTGCAAAGATGGAGGTTGGCGTCTCCTCCAGGTGCGAGCTTCATACTCCAAAGCTCATTCTCCACGCGACGGATCGTGTACGCCTTGATGGCTTCGTTCTGCTTTCCTTCGTAAAGGCTGCAGAGCTCACTCCACATCTCCGATCCGGTCTCCTTGTCACGTAGTTGATGTAGCACGTCTGCCGGTACCGATGTACCAATCAAGCGCATGATCTTCAACTGCTTCTTCTTGAACTCCTCTTGCTTCTCTGCACTTGCAGTAGCAAGCATCGCTAAGGTCAAATCTCCGACTACGATGTCCTTGAGGTCTTGTTCCTTGAAGACGTTCTTCTGGGAACACTTGTACGTCTGCCAATCCTTACCATCCCAGTTCTTAGGGACTCCTTCACTCGAGTACTTCAGGGGCTTCGTCATTTGGGCTCAGAACCCTATTGGAACTCCGTTCCGTTTGGCAGCACTCTGGACTTGTGAAAGTAAAATGAAGACTGAATTATTTAAGTGCTAGCTCACGCTCCTCCAGAGCTCCTACCAACACTAACGGATTCAACCCGCTCCCATACAATGACCTTGCCCAACTGATTCTCATCCCGAATGTCCTGGCCCACCTGATTCTCATCCAGTGTGTCCATGTCTCGTTGTGACTGGTCTCCAATGTGAATTCCAACACATGTGCCAGACGCAGGAGTCCGACGGTGCTTATTACTGCGAGAACCAGTGGGATTTCGGAACGGGTCTCAGCTACACCGAGTTCACCTACGCTGAAGTGCGTCTGAGCCGCAACGTCGTCACGTCTTTGGCGGAAGACGTCGTGGTGTCTGTGGACGCTACGAACGCTGGTAGTGAAGCCGGAAAGGAGACCGTCATGCTCTTCCTCCTCCAGCCGTACAACTCGCTGAGCGTGCCGGAGATGAAGCAGCTCAAGAAGTTCTTCAAGATCAGTCTTGAGCCTGGTCAGACACAGAACGTCAACTTCACACTCACATCTGACGACTAGAGTGTTTACTACCCACAGGTGGGTCACGGGCTCAAGAAGGTGGCCGAGGACTGCGAATACGTGGTGGCCATCAAACCGGAGACGGACTGCGACGTATACAACGAGACGGCCGTGGCCAACCCGCTCGGTGCAACCTTCTCACTCAACACGGGCGAGTATCCGTTCGGCACGTTCGAGGAGCCGTGGTAAGCAGAAGACGTACTAGATAAGTGTTTGTGTCCATGCTGGTCGCTCTCAACTATTTCTGACAATAACGGATTGTTTCAATCTTCGATACTCTTATAAAAAAATGTTTTAAGAAAATCTTTTGCAAAACCATCTCGTCTTCATCCGCATTGTACGAGTTCCGGCCAAGTGAGTTCCGACGCATTAACTCGTCGAAGTAGCTTCAACTTTCCCGTGTACTCGTTGTGATCTCCCACCACGACTACAGGCAGAAGAACGACCTGCCGCGGACGCAAGAGCGATTGATAATAAGCCAATTCAGTCGATGGATCTCGCCCAAGTACAGTTCGCAGATACGCGATAGGGTCACTCATTAGCACAGCGTTCATGAATGCAACGTTCGCTTCGACATCATCGGATCGGCCATGTAAACACTTCATTTGATGCTGGATATACCGGAAAGTATTCATATTTATACGTGCAGTAGGGGCACTGTATTTGTATTTTCTGACTGGTAGTCGCATTTCTTCGGCTACGACTTGCTTCGACTGAAAACTGGCGGTAAAGGGAATCACTCGTCCGTCCCCATAGTTCGGTTTTCGTTGCGGTACTTGCAATTGTTGTTTACGTCGTTGATACGTCTCATCTCGGATACAAAAGAAATCGCTTGTCCAATGAACACACATACTCACAGTAGGGCATAAGACTCCAGCCGAGTACGGCACAGGAGTCGGAGCTAGAAAAACCACTGCGAGAATCGATCTCTCTGTTCAACGTCTTGAGCTGTCAGACACTTCAGCCATAAGACGCGAACTACCCACGTTCCAGCAACGACGAGCACGAAGCAAATTACGAAATTTCAAATCTATAATCACACCGCCGAGTAACACACTGCCACTTCCTCGATGCGCGAAGCTGTACTGGTATTTCGTAGTCACCCACGCTCGACTTAAATTAGAAGGAAGTACCATCATTCTAAGAATTTTAGACGATCTAAACGATGTCGAGCGATACTGCGCGATCAACGTGATACTTGAAAATGCGCTTAGTAAAAATTCCGGGACGCCAATAATACCGCTGTTCGATTAGTTACTGCGTGCTAGCCAACGTGAGGTTGTTACAGTCACCACCATGTAACGCGTATATCCACACGTTTCGCATCCGAACAACAGCATAGGAGATAAACGCTTCGAGATGGATGTCCAACACGCCACCTTGAGAGAAAAAATGGCTTTCTAGCACGTCGTACGGAAAAGGAGCGTCCAGTAAATGAGCCAAAACATAGCACGACACGGGGAACGGACTACCGAACACTACGCATTGCGTCGGGACCTTCATAAATAGATGGCGAGCTTTGCGCATTCGAGTCCAGGTGGGTATTTTCTTCTGAAATTTGGTAACACCGTGAACGAAGTAGCAACTGAGCATCTATCCGAGACCACGTAACAAGAAGTAGCCTTGTCCGATGCTTCTCAGAGCTGCCACTACTTTATACCACTGCACAACGTCCGAAGTTAATAATCCGGTTTCGTATCGATAATCTTCGACGAAAACTGTTTCGCAAGAGCGGGTTGTTCCTTTCCCAACACAGTTTCGAGCACGTACGATGGCACTCACATCCGAGCGTTTGAACCCGAGGGACGTGAGTCCTCCTCGACATATTTGCATGTCTTCTTGACTTTCTAAAAGTGTTAAATCCAATGTTGCGTTCGGAAAGCGACGCTGGACGTCACGAACACGTGTCACGGTGTGTACGTGCAGCAACCCAAATTTCTGCCTTTGGCGTCATCAGGAGCACAAGATCCATCAAAATTTGTCCAGAGCTCATGACAAAAACGCGGCATTCGGATCCTGTTCCCAATAATCGGGAAACAAATAGTACGAGCATTGGTCGTTGCAAGTAGCTCTGGAGAATAATACAATGCCTGGTTGGTGCGCCAGTTAATGTTGACTAGCCGAGCGCCGCCGCTACGCGGCGGTAATTTCGGTTTTACTCCAGATTTTTGCCTTCCCGCCTTCGCTTCGGATAATTAGTCCAAATCCTCTGAGTCCCAATGTGCCTAAATCGACTTCTTTAATTTCATAAATCTGCGTTTCATTTGCTACAAAATGCTGAGTTCCCAGTAAGCCGTGTAAATATTTCTACCGGTACAAAGACTGAGCCCCTAGCATCATACTTACCATGCTCATAAACGATTACGCTAGTGATCTTGGCAAAGTCTCTTTATTGTTGTTGGCTATCACTGTACCTTAGTCTTCCACCCAGATGCACCTGCACTTCAGTCTAAAACCGCTAAATAATATATCTAGTTTAGCGTCGTGCTCGATTTCACGGGCCGTTTCTGAATCCTAGATTGCATCAATGCAAAGAATATCTGTCCAGCTTGCATCAAATACCCGCTTGTACTGCCTGGTTAAGCTTGTAATAAACTGACTATTAACCACTTCGCAAACCAAACTCGCTACTTTGAAAGAAAATTAAAAGTGTTACAGTTTGAATATTTAATAAAAATATTCGAGCTGTATCATTTTTTATGCCTTGAAGTGTGTTCATTTTGTGCTGATTCAGAATTAGCCATTAGACACTCCAATCTGTGCCTGTTATGGTTATAGCCTTTGGATATAACGATGCGTCGCAAGACGCCTTGCTGTCGTTGTTGTTGACGGCGGTATTTTTATTTGATACTTAATTGATGATTCCAGGATGGATTAGGCTCTAAGTTGATTAATGTTTCTTTACGGGCCTACTTATAATAACCATAATAGACACCTCTCATGTTGTGCTGTTATCTTACCCCTGCATATAAAACCTTATTCTACGCCCTTGTCGGCAACGCGTCTACCTATTAAGAAGTATCAGAATTTTGTTGTCTAAAAAACCGCTTAGGAAACAATGGTTAAGTTCAATTCGCTTACAGTAGTAATTGTCATCAGCACATATAACTTCTTTTTGTTCACACGTCAATCTAACACTATCTATTTTTGTGGATCAAGTGACAACGTTTATAAGCACAGTTCTGTTCTTACGGCCAGTCTACACGACCGGCTACTGCTGTACATGTAGCATGTACGATTTAGCAATACCAGAAACCCACTCAGATAACTTATTAATGCTAATATTTTTACAGTAAAAAAATTGAAAGTGTCATTTTAGTCAGTGTAACACGCAGATCCTACTGAGTACAGAGTATTTAGTACAATAACAACTTGCATTATGAAAAAGTATATAATATTTAAACGATGCCGCCTTCGGATAATGTATAGCCTTGTGCAAATCCCCATATGTAAACTGGGAAACACATGCATTTATTGATGTCAACTACACAATCTAGTTTTAACCAATTGAAGACACCTTCGCTGCGCTCGTCAGCCAGTAGAAATATTTAAATTATTTAATCCAATGATTTGTCCGGAAAAGCGTGACAGGCACGACAATTTAGTGTGACGGACAGACAGGTTGCTGCAGTAGATGTTTAAGACTAGCCGTTCGCCGCCGCTACGCGGCGGAGTGGCATGGTTTGTTGGAGATGAGGTGGCCGCAACCTTAGTGCTTCTTGGTGTCGCGTGTTTTGAGAGCGTGGTTCACCCCGTAGATCTTGGCATCGTGTATTTAACCACTTGCCTTCCGTAGTCTCATTCGGCCCCGTATAATATCGTGGTTTGGAACGTTTCCGTTACCCCGTACTACAGGTTGGGTGTTGTTTTCTTCAATGGTCCATGCTCTTTCGTGCTCTTCCCGGCTTCGAGGTTCCTGCTCTCCCATGGCCCACGCTGCTCAGCGGTTCTGTCCTCTCTCTTGTGGGTTCATGCTCTTTAGTACGGTCTTTTCGTTAAAGCGAACTGTTTTCCGTTCTCAAACGTTTACGTGGGTTGCACTGGCTTCGTGGTAGATACTATTTCGTTACCATTGGCCTTCCATCGCCGGTGCTCTAACCAAAGGGTGCTATTCCGTGCTTTGGTGCCTCCATGCAGTCGTGGTTCCGTCGCCCGTGCATCGTGATCTCCTTATGAAGTGTCATCGACCGCGGAATCACGCTATCGTGCAATCACGGTGTGGTAATGCTGTCTATGGTATTGTGCTCGCGTAGTGCATCTGCGTTGCCCGTGTTATCGTGTTCTACAATGGCATCGTGCTCCACGGTGTGCAATCATGGCCACCCCACACGTGCCCCCTCCCTCTCCCCCCCCTCGTGTTTTTTGTGGCTGGTCCGACGTCCGTTAAATCGTGTTCCCATGTACTACGGTTCTCCGTGGCTCGGTAAGCTCAGGTTCTACACTTGTATCGATCTCCGCGGCTCGAAGATTTTCTGACTATAGCTCCGCGGCTGCGTTCTCCCATGGCATAGTGGCCCAGACCATACTATCTAGTTATCTTGTGGTGTCCCGGTTGATCTGCCGTTTGTGCTTCGTATTTTACCGTGCTTCGTGGTCTACCGTGTTGTATCGTAGGTGATTTCCGTGCTCTGTAGCAGCTACGTGTTCTAGCCCGGTTTTAGGTAGAAAGTCTAACAGAGTCCGTGACTCTCAGTGCTTTCATAGATTTACATGTTAATTGCATCGGCCCGCTTCCGTGCTTTGTAGCTCTGTGCTCATATTTGTTTCCCCTCCATCGTACATACTGTTTCTTTCTGCCCTACAAATCCAGTTCGATAAGCTCGCACCTTCACCTAGGCTCACGCCCTGTCCTAAGCTCCCATACAACGCACCTAAACACGAAAGTAATTGTGACCAATGCAAAACATTTATTTTTAGCCAATCAGTTTTTCTGGTGATTACGCGGATGTTTGTTGCGCTGGCGAGGTTTCCAGCGACGACGGCGGCGATTAATGCGCTCCTGGACAACACGCCGCGGCGGTTGTGGGGGCCCCATAGCGGCGGCAACTAAGGCCAGGCTTTGTTGGCGCGAATCAGTGGCTGGCTTCGGTTCTGGTGTGCGTGGGCGGTGCCAAAACGCCTGGCTGTATGGACCAGAGGCGCACGCGATGCACCTGCGGGCACCCGCTCGAGCCTGGCCCTGTGCGAATGCATCCCATGCTAAGAATTGTTCGCAACAGGCGCACAGCCGGAGCTGCAGCCCGAGACCGTCTGGCTCGAGCGGGGGGTGCACAATGACCGCCTGGCACGTCGAGCACATGGGAGGTAAACGTTCCATTGGAGAAATGTTTTATTAGAAACGATTTTATTAAATTAGTAATATTATTTTTTAAGTATTAAACTAAGTATTTCGAAGTGTTGAATTACTACTTTGCTAAAATGCGATCCAGTGGTGTCGCCAGGGTCTAAAAAAAATCAACAGCGCCTACGACGATATAATAGTACCGGTGTGCACGTCGGCGAAGCCTACCAATGCAAATTAACCCGCACACACGCAGCGCCCTTTGCGTGAGGTGGCGCTCCAGCGTTAAAAATGGGGGCAAAATGAAATTTGAAAGGTGCATTTAAGTACGATGTGTAGACCACATACAGTGTGTACACCACATAATGCAATTTTAGCGAATCGAGGCCGCCTTCGCTGCGCTCGGCAGCCAGTAGAACGCGCGTATTAGCGTGAGTTTTATTAACCCTAGCCCGTTACGGACGGACTGACGGACGCAGACCACACTCCACTAGGGGGGTAAGACTAGCCGTTCGCCGCCGCTACGCGGCGGAGTGGCATGGTTTGTTGGAGATGAGGTGGCCGCAACCTTAGTGCTTCTTGGTGTCGCGTGTTTTGAGAGCGTGGTTCACCCCGTAGATCTTGGCATCGTGTATTTAACCACTTGCCTTTCCGTAGTCTCATTCGGCCCCGTATAATATCGTGGTTTGGAACGTTTCCGTTACCCCGTACTACAGGTTGGATGTTGTTTTCTTCAATGGCCCATGCTCTTTCGTGCTCTTCCCAGCTTCGAGGTTCCTGCCCACCCATGGCCCACGCTGCTCAGCGGTTCTGTCCTCTCTCTTGTGGGTTCATGCGCGTTGGTACGGCCTTTTCGTAAATGCTAACTTTTCTCTGTTCTCAAACGTTTATGTGGGTTGCACTGGCTTCGTGGTAGATACTATTTCGTGACCGTTGGCCTTCCATCGCCGGTGCTCTAGCCGAAGTGTGCTATTCCGTGGTTTAGTGACTTCATGCAGTCGTGTTGTTCCGTCGCCCGTGTATCGTGCTCTCCAGGTGAGGTTCCATCGACTGCGGTATCACGCTATCGTGCAATCACGGTGTGGTAATGCTGTCTATGGTATTGTGGTCACGTAGTGTATCTGCGTTGTCCGTGTTATCGTGTTCTACAATGGCAACGTGCTCCACAGTGTGCAGTCGTGGTCACCCCAAGCGCCCACCTCCCCGTTTATTTCGTGGCTGGCCCGCCGTTCGTGCAATCTAGTTCTAATGTAGTACTGTCCTCCGTGGCTCGGTAAGCTCAGGTTCAACACTGGTATCGTTCTCCGCGGCA